TTTTTTTTTCTCTCTGTTTTTTTAAGCAGATATCAATGTCATTGATAGCTTTCATATGTGACTAGGGTTTTCATACTTCTGTCACTGCATAAACATATCTAGCTTTAAATATTTTAGATTAAATTATGTGTCATGCAAATGTTCTATATTCCAGACATTTAAAACTGCAATGAATTCTCACAGTTTTTGTGTGTGTGCGAGCGTGTGTGCTTTGTTTTGCTTTGTTTTTTAAAGTTCATCCTTAAATTCATGGCTCTGCTGCTGGTGACTCTATATGCTGAGACTTTATGTTTAGAGGGAAGAAAACTTGCATCTGAAAGTCTGAAATTGGTGAGATTTTGCTAGTTTGTGGCTTAGCAGCTCTTTAGTTTCTGCAGGAAAGGGAATAGCTGACAGTTTTAAAGCGAAGATTAAGGAAGTGTGGATGCAGGTTCTTGTCACATTTCAGATCTCATGACTTGGGTTTTTGAAATGAAATCCAGTTACATCTTCAGGATGTTCTTTCATGTAAAGCAATGTATTGAACTAAAGTGATTCAGCACCTGCAAGTCCCAAAGTTGTTATTGACGTAAATATAGGTGGTTTGATGAAGTATTAGCGGGCTCCCAGGAGTATGTAACCTGTGTAACAAAGTTCGCACTCCCAGAAGGGCTCCTCCTCCGTTTAGGCCTGTAGTTTAGCCCTGTCGCTGGAGGCCTCCTCCATCAGCTGACATAAAGCTCTGCCTCTTGCTTTTCTCTGAAGTACTTTGAAACCAAGCTAAGATGCCTTAAACCACAGACGAAAATTAGACGTCAAGAGGATCTCCCTGGATGTGGTCACTTCCCCCTGTGTTTTGCAGCTGGCTTGGATTTTTCTCCACAGGCTTCTCCCAGTGAAGTTCTGCTGCCCAGAGCACGTGTGGCAGCGCCTGTCCATGTGAGATGCCGGCTGCAGTTCTGGGCTGTTGGTTTGTTTGAACAACTCCCAGCCCATGGATAGCATCATGTACTATGAAGTCTATAAAGCAACAAGTTTGTATTGCAGAGCCTGTCACAGTTGGTTGCTGTTTTCTATTTGCAACGTTAGGTTCTAAGGAAAATAGCTCTAAAACTACTTTTATGAGATCCTGCAAAAATTCCCTTCTTTTATCAATGTTTATAAAAGATTTTCCTTCCAAATTATTAGTTCTTTTTTATAGCAGTATGATGTACGTAGCTATTAAAAATAGGATATAAATAAGGTAAATACAAAATACTTGCAGACACTGAATTTTAAATGGAAAGAACAAACAATTGGAAGAATGGATTAATTAGAAGGATTTAAGTATTATTGTGGTTTAAACTGCAAACTAAACTGCCATGACTAATCAAGAAACAGTACTTGTGTTGTATTTGGTGGCAAGTATGCTTTTCTGCTGATTATGTTGAATTTCTTGAGGAGCTACTTTCCTAAAGTAAGTTTCATACCAAATACATACAGTTGCGTAGTGTTTACCAATATTTGTTCGTAGCTTCTTTTGGCATTTAAGTTATGTTTTCATAAAATATAGTGCGGTATTTCAACCAAAAATACTGTGGTTATCCAATCTTAAACACCCAACAGCAGGTCAACCTCTTTCAATCTGCTGTAGTAAAAAGCAAGGATATTTTGCAACATGACAGACTAACTGCCTGTCGTTTGCTGGTGGTTGATCTAATTCACACGATTAGTTAATTTGTTAAGTTGTAGATTCAGAAATACAGAAATCTGCCATCTTACAAATATAATATATTGTATTCATTATACCTCTCCTTTTTTTTTGGTAACATGAATGTATGCAGTGATTTGCCCTGTTTATAAAATATTTGCAAGCATATGTTAACAGAGGTGAAGATAAAGGGCCCATAGCTTATTGTGCAATTGCTATGCACACAGAATTGCTTCTTGGTTGTGGTGAAAGTTATTATGCCACTGCTGTTCTGCCCGTGGACTCATTTTTGCTGATCCCTCCTGTTAATGTATTAGCTTCAGCCTTTGAACTTAAATCCTGAACATACATCACAAGTGGAGAGAAAGGTGTTCACTTCCAAGTCCAGAGAAGGCACTTTTTCCCTAAAGTAAATTAATTTGTTCTCTATTAGTTATTGTTGTTTAGGGTATGTGGCTAGATATCCTTTTCCAGATCTGGGTTCAGAGGCATGTACAACGTAGGCTCTCATTCATCATTTTCCTGTTATATAGCTACTTACGGCTGTATAGTAGGTAAAAAGCCATTCATAAAAATGGCATTATGAAACCATTCATAAAAATGCTACTTTTCTGAAATGGTACTATTATTTTCTTCTTTTGAAAATCTATACAGTGGTAAATACGAGACATGACAGAGAACAGTCAATTGTAAATGGAAGGTCACCAGACATCACAGTGCGCTAATAATGGTAATGGCACTCCATGTTATAAGCTCAAGACTTAACCGAGTCGTAAATACGTGTATGGAGCATGATCTATATTACTGTTAAAAAAAATTAATAATCGTGTTAGTTTATAGAAATAATTACTAAGTGTTATGTTTGTTCTCCAACGAGAACACTTTGAATATGGTAGGTCTTGAGAACACTTTTGATATCCTAGGTCTTGTACAATTCTAAACGTCTGTCTGTAGTGATTAATAGTGTCATGTGTTAAGATGGGGTTATGCTTATATTATATGCTCCAGTATCATAGAATGCTTAAGGTTGGAAGGGACCTCTAGGGATCATCTAGTCCAACCCCCCTGCATACGCAGGGTCACCTAGAGCACGTGGCACAGGGCTGCGTCCAAGCGGGTTTGGAAGATCTCCAGAGAAGGAGACTCCACAACCTCTCTGGGCAGCCTGTTCCAGGGCTCTGTCACCCTCAGTGTTAAAAAAATTTTTCCTTAAGTTCCTGTGGAACTTTTGGTGCTTCAGTTCATGACCATTACCTCTAGTTCTGTCAGTGGCCACCAGTGAAGAGAGGCCAGCACCATCCTCCTCACTGCCTCCCTTGAGGTACTTATAGACACTGATTAGATCCCCTCTCAGCCTTCTCTTGTCCAGGCTGAACAGGCCCAGCTCCCTCAGCCTCTCCTCGTAGGGCAGATGTTCCAGGCCCCGATCATGCTTGTGGCCCTGCGCTGGACTCTTTCCAGCAACTCCACATCCCTCTTGTACTGTGGAGCCCAGAACTGGACACGCTCTTCTTAACGCACCCCAGGATCCCATTGGCCTTCTTGGCCACGAGGGCACACTGCTGCCTCATGGTCAACTTGTCGTCCACCATGACACCCAGGTCCCCCTCTGCAGAGCTGCTCTCCAGAAGGTCAGTCCCCAGCCTGTACTGGTGTCTGGGGTTATTCCTCCCCAGGTGCAGGACCTTGCACTTGGCCTTGTTGAATTGCATGAGGTTTTTCACCGCCCAGTTGTCCAGTCTGTCCAGGTCCCTCTGTATGGCAGCGGTAACTGTTTTTAGGTCAAGATTACGATCTGATTAATTTGAAGGATTCACAAAGTGGTATTATTTGGCAAGCATTTGCTTTTTGTGAAAGGAAGAAACCAAGTGTATCAAATATATGGCCTGGATTCGTGGCATACTGTTACATGCAGAAATACATGAAAGTTTTAGTGGGAATAATAATAAAAAAGGGATATGCTGTGCAAGTTTTGTGTCTAATGTGTTAGTGTTTGTCAAGTGCACATGTATGTCCAAAGGCGGAGAAGAACTGCAGACATGGAAGCAGTTACAGTACTCATGTATAGAAGTGGGAATGGTAGGGACACTGTGGTACTTACAGCTTGCATGGCATTTTCCACAGTATTGCTTGCACTAGTCTGGTCTATATTATATTTGGCTGTAAAGTATGAATTAGTGAGAGAATAAGATTTACTCTTTCAAGCAACATTAATTCATCTAAATATCACCAGCTTCCTTTTTAGCTTAAGTGACATAATTTACTGCGTCACTGCATTGAGTAAATAATTGATCATGCTATTTTCTTCAATTACCTCATTAGCAGTTTTGGGCAGGGTAATGAGTCTGTGCTTATTGCCAAGTATTACTTTCTGTGAAATTATTGTCAGTGATGCTGTTGCACTACGCATGCACTGTTATTGACAGTTTTATCTGCTGCTCAGGAGCTATTTTCAGGATTGAGGAACTGTATAACTGAAGGGGAGCTGGGCACCTGAAAGGAGGGTGTATCTCCTTTCCTATACTATTTCACCGTATCTGCAACAAGCAATTCATTGCTCCCATCTGTATCCTAATTGCTCTGTAATCTTTCTTGCTCTTGGCTGTTTTTGGTTAAAACAAATGCCTATTATGCCACAACACTTGCTATGGTTTTGGCTCGTGTGATTTCTGTCCTAGAGATTGTTGGTGTAATTTGAAAAATATAGCAGCAATGAACATTTCAAAGATGGGGATGCTTGAGCTATCACCTCAAAGCTCTGATGCTGCCCACAGGTCCCTCATTTGGGTCACAAATTCCAGGTGGGAGATGCTGGCAAAGGTAGCCAGCTATCTCTTACTCTTCCTGGAGTAGCATCTTAAGAGGCAGCAGGTGAGGATTACTCACCTTCTGCTTGTCACATCTCAGTTGCTTCTTGAGCTGTCACGTGATTGTGGCCAAGTTTAGGCAATCAGTAGTTGTCCTGTGGTTTGCTCGGGGCATTTTGAACACACGACTACCGGAGCACAGAGCGGAGCCCCGTGCCTCTTCCTTGAGAAGCAGCTGGTGCAGGACAGTTGAGCTTGACTCCGTATTGGTATCTCGGCGTGTTGTTGTTTTTATTTTAAATAAGAATATATGTTAAAAACCGCAAAATACAACTGAGTTATTCTAAAATGTTTTTCTCATTTTTGCTTCAATAGTATCAGGACACGAATATGCAAGGCGTAGTGTATGAACTGAACAGCTACATAGAACAGCGCCTGGATACAGGAGGAGATAACCAACTACTTTTGTATGAACTGAGCAGCATCATTAAAATAGGTAAGAAAGAGAATCGTGTATCTCCAAGCTGTTGCTTAGCTTGAGTGCTCAGCACGCTTCCTAGTGGTATAATTAATAAAGATGAGCCTTGAGGGATAACTATATTCTTGTCTCAGAATTAACTTATTCCAGCTTGGCTTTTGTATGTCAATGAATCTCTGACCAGCTTTAAGCAGGTTTCTGCTCGGGAGCTGTATATCCAATTGCAAAATTAGAGCCCCTTGTAAAATGAACCACAAAATGGATTTTACTGGCTGTGAAGGTATAGCAGTTGATATCGAAAAAAAAATCCTTCAATAATATTGCTGCATACTTCAATTCTTTTTTAACAAAACAGATATATAATGGAAGAGGGCCTTTTTCATGAACTGAAAATAAATTTAGTACTCTATTTTTTTCCTGTCTGTAAGTACTGTTTTTAGTAAGGAAATGGTATGCATAGTATATATCATTAAAAGCTAAGAAAATTTTCCTAGCAACAAAGTAAGTATAAATGGTAGAGCTTTCTAACCAGAGCACATGTAGTCAGACTTCAGTAGGTAGAATCAGTACCTTTTCTTCAGTATAGCTTTTGAGCTGCTTTGTAGAAACATTATCCCTATCCCTGCTACATTGTCATTTAAAATGGCAAAATAATTGTCTGGTTTATATATGCAACATTTCAAAAGGACCATGTCTGTTTACTCTTTTCCCCTAAGTGGCTATTTGGAAATTAATGTCAGCCCACAGGAAATCAGAGCTGGATTTTGTTGGTATGCAGCAAGTGACAGGCTAGGAGGGACAGGAGCTGCTTATCTTTTACAAGTGGCTTTTTATTTATTTATTTGTTTGTTCGTAAAGTAGATAAGGTTTAAGAAATTCTTTTATTATAGTCTTTACCTTCTGTTGTTCAAAGTGTTTATATATTACAACTGAAAAAGTTAAAATTTGAGTGCAAATTACCAGGCCCTGAACTTTGTGACATAGGTGTGACATAGGTGTGACATAGGTGACAATAAGTAAGTAATTGGATAAGAGGATGTTTCTTTTTCTTCTGTTAAACAAATGCAGAAAAGCCATTGATTGATTATCTGCAAAAGCAGAGTCACTCTCCTGAAATGTACGGAATAGATTCTTGTGTTTATTCCTAAAAATGAGATGTCAGATATATGCATTTACTGGTTATAACATTCATTAACTGTTGAAAAGAAGGATTTACTTATTCTCAAAGACTCAAGTGTATTGTATAAAACAGAGTAAAAACATCGACCTCCATTCCCCTTTTGATTCTGTGAATTTTCATTTTTGTAATAAGGCACATTGGCTGGCTTTAAACTTTTGAAAGTTAAAGCAATAAATTTTATCCTATTTCAGAAAACAATCTCAATCTGGCAAAAAATGCTGAGAGGTGCCATCTTGCAGGTGTGCCAGTGTTTTTAGTATGAGGCAGGTGCAGAAAATGGAATGGGTTTGTTTTGAAACATGTTTTTATGGCAATATTTGTAACATTTTGTTTTCCCATACTTTTCTATCCAAAAACAAATATAGCCTGCCACCTATAAATAGTGCTACTTTTGCTCATGGAAATTATAGTGCTATTTGCTTGTTTATATTGTAGTTATATGCTCTTACATTGTTTCTATACTGCCATATGAACTAATTTGAATTTATAGACATTAGACCTAGGAATAAGATGTATAAGGATGTCATTTTTAATTAGCTTTTAGAATACACTGCATAGGAGTGGGGGAAGTAGTATCCTGTGCTTCTAAATTGCTAGGGCCTGGGAAGTTTCAAGGGACACAGCAATAGACTTTCACTTTTAGAATTTTAGATGTTTGTCCTAAGTGGAATTGCATCTGTGGTTTCACCTCAGAGAACTTGCGTAAGTTCGGTTCTCTCTCTGAGTGCAATTATTTCTTTTATTATTGCTTTGGCAGCTACAAAAGCTGATGGATTTGCACTATATTTCCTGGGAGAATGCAATAATGTAAGTATTCTGAATTTAGATGCTTCTTTTTTTTACAATTACAAGTGCATTTTCCCCTTTTACGATGACATTTTAATTTTCTTTTGTACCTCATTTAGCAGGAAATACTACCTAAGTTCTGAATATTAACATTATATTATGTTTATTTCTGTGAAGTGGAAGTTTATTGAACATAGTGGTAATCAGAAATGTTTTCTGCAGGTATAGTGCAGTTCTTTCTCCGACTTTAGCAATGTATCTTTGGAGTTGACCCATTATTAATTGTTTTTAACAAAAGGAGAACATTATTAAAATATGCTGTCAGCATAAAGAATTCTTTTCATCTGTTTGCCAGCTGCAACTTGATAATGAGTTAACAAAAATTTCAGAAATAGATTTTGATTAACATGGAGAAATAAATGGTACATTTAAAATTAATGAATCAAAATAATTTACATTATTTTGTGTAAATTAATTGTCCAGAAAAAAAAAGAGTAACAATGAGGCCACTACATTATTCCTAGGAGCATATGTGCTGTTTTATTATTTGACACAAAAAAATAATGAATTTTAAATATCCAGATTAATTTATACAGATAACACAATACAAGATTTCGTAGCTTTGAATGTCTGCAAAAAATATATATATATATATATTTTCACAATTTGTGACACAATTTTATGCCTTTCTTTTGTTCAAGAAACAAATTAAATTCTTTTAACTGGAGATGACTAGAGAGGAAAATATTTTTCTCATTGTTTTTGTTTCCTTACTATACACGGCCAATTTTAATAGTTTAGCTTTATATAGTCCATTAGCCAATTTCCTCTTCTCTTTGTGAAATAATTACATTCAGTAAAAGGGAAGAAATACTATTTGTAAAATAATGGAAAATGAGATTGAAGGTGTGTGGACTAGCATGTGACTTTGACCTGACCTAAGAATACTTACCACTTGTTCAAAATAGATGGTACATAATTCAAAGGAGGTAGAAGATAAGAAAATCTTTCACAAAATTGGAAATGGATACCGGTTTTGTATTTTTTTAAAAATTAATAACTGCATCTTATAAGAGAAACCATTTTTTTATTCAGGAATCGACCGTATTCTAAACGAGTTGCACAAGTATGTAAATACTGCGGCTGTTTTATTCACTGTTCACTTGAATAACCTTTTTGGTTCATCCCCTGTGAACACCGGTTAGCCGGGAGTTTTGGGCGCACCGGGCTGGCCAGCCTCAGTCGCAGCAATTGCACACTGGTGAACAATAGCAAGAACCTCTTACAGCAAAACTAACTTTGCAGCTTGAGGATTCGTGCTGTGGTTAGTTTCTACGTTTTAGATCAATGGGATTTTCTTCTCCCCTCTTTTTTTTTTTTTTAAATAGTCTTTTGGGCAGTTAAGCCTGTTTGCTTCCCAGTATATATAATTCTTCCACCGGAAAGTTCCACCTACTGCATACATATGCTGACTTTCTTTACCACTGCTGTGTAGTTTCATCTTCCAAAATGGAATTTTCTTCATGTAGTTATTACAAGGACTGATCCCAAGTCCTTTGAAGCTAGTGTGAGATTTTCCATTGACATTAGTGGGTTTTGGGCCAGACCCATATTTATTTTCATGTGATGAGTTGGTAATGCATTAGCCTACTTTTTTTTTGTCTGAAGTTCTCACTGAAAATCATTCTGGATATCTTTGAGTCTTAGATATTAAATTTAAGGTATGTATCATATTACATTAAGTGCTGCCCAGCAAATACTAGCAGTGTGTTTCATTAAATGTATATTTTTTAAGTAGGTTGAACAAAAAGATTTTGTATAGCATAAGCAGCAGACTGGAGCTCATTCTTCAAGTTGATATTAATTATTTTTCTTCAAAAGTGATAAAAAACTTACCAATTAAGGTAGGCAAAGCAGTTGCTGAAATCTATGACTGCAGGTTGAAAAATGGCTTCTGTTTTTTGGTGGTCAGTTTTTAGATGCTTAATTTGAGACTTAACCTCCTTAAGTTCAGTAAACTTTCTTTATATATGTGTCTTAGCATTTTTATTTTTGTTTACTAGTTTTAGAAAGATACATAAATCTGCCTGCATTTACGCAGACAGGAGCCTCATGGTTCAGAACTGGTCCTAATACAGCAGTTATTTTCACCGTTCTTTCAAAGAAACAATCAGTGCCTGAATGCTGCTTTTCCTGTGTGTGCATCTTTCTTTGCAAGAATTGGGTGGTGGGAGCGGACTGTGTAAGAAAGGGACATACGGGTAGTAAGTAGATAAATAGATACCATTCACAAGTGATATTTTTTTAACCTGTAGTAATGAGTGTTGTAACTGCATATAGGGACCTAAGGATCAAAATGCAGGTGAGGGCATCAACTCTTCTTTGTTGTAGCTCCCACTATAAATATGTGTAAGTACATTTGCGTCTATTTAAAACCATAAAACAATACCCGAAAATCTTGGTATGTGTTAAGGGTTATTTTTTTTTCAAAACTGAAATTTCTATAACTGCCTTTGGCCTAGAAAAAAATATGAGTCTCTTGTTAGGATAGATTTTATAGAAGTTCTAGGTGTTTACAAAATGAGAAACTGCAAAAAGATTACTGCTTGCCATGTGCTATTATTTCTTTATATTGAAGGAAGAAAACTGCTCTATAAGAGCAATTTTTAAGTGGGTTGCTAAAAGTTCATTGTAAATCTTTCTTCAATTAATATGGACATCACTTCCCTCATATTATCAAAACATTTGCTTTGAAGTACTGAAAACTTCCTTGTGTAGTGAGGGGGAAAAAAAGCTCTAGACTAGACTGTCCTTTGGCTTTCATAGGAGCATTGGTTTTTATAGGAGCACCTCATGTCCCTTCAAATTTGCCAAGACGAGGTGTCCTATTGCAGCTGGTGTAAGGGCACTGCAGGATTCCAAAGGAAAATACAGTCACTTTGACTTCCGTGAGTTTGTTATAATGTATTCACTCCATGTGTAAAGTTTCTCCATAGCCTTTTTTGCTTTTTCTCATTGGAAATCCACAAAACTAGAGCTTAACTTGTGTTAGAGTAGGATAACGGTGTAAGGACAAGGAGATTTCTGGCCGATACCTTCAGGGGCTTTGGTTAAGTGAATTTACTTGAATGGAAGCTGCCCTACCAGTTACAGGTTGGAGAGTGTTTCCTTACGTGACCATTACTCACACTTGGTGCCAGAATGAGTGTGGCTAATTCCCTTATTCCAGTGACCTTCTGGGGGTTTAGGTTGCTTGGAGGTGCTAGCAGTCCTTACTTAAGGTATTCTAACACCATGATTCTGCTTTTTAAACGATTGTGCACAAGCAGATCAGGACCCTTTGCATGTCTACCTCCTTGCATCCCTATAGAGGAAAGGATTTCGCTTCATTTCCGTTTTCTGTTTAATTGCTGGTGGGGGCAAAGACAAAGTTCAAACTTCTCCTGTTGTGACCCTAATTGAATATCGTCTTTAAAAATGACTTGAAAGTTTTACTGAAAACCCAGTGTTTGATTGTATGTGTATGCAAATCTGTCTAAATGCTGTGCTAACTAGGCATGGATTTAAGCCCATAAGCTGACATCTCCACAAGGGAGTATTTCAAAAATTCTCACCAAAGCCACAGAGTTTTGAGTATATTATTGTATTAACTGATTCTTTAAATGCTTCTTCTGTGAAGTCCTTATTTGTGTGAGTAATTCGCACATGGTTACATTGTGATTCCTACATAAAGATGTATGAGTTGGAATTTAATAAGCATACGCTTAAAGTAGCTTTTACTAGATCTTGTGAGCGTTACTTATTTCCCAAAACTGTAAATTGCTTTGACAAACAGATCATCTTTGCTTCAGATAGGGGTTGACAATGGCTTTATTGTAAGAAATAATTGTGTGAGGCCACAAATACGTGCACATAGTTTGTGCTTCAGGGTGTATGTAATTAAGCTGTTCCAGAATTTCTGGTCCCCCAGAAGTTGTTGCAGCTTGATGTGCAGTGCCACCTAGTGACTCCGTGGTGGGACTCGAAGCTTTAGGAACCAAGGAGCAGCATCTCAGGATGGATAACTAACTGCCTCAGGGTCTCTGGGCCAACCTGAGGTGCATAATTTTCAGCATGGAGGCATCAGGTCTAAAAGGCAAGTTTTTCATGATGCGCATTTCCCGTGAGCACTCTTCTAGTTGGAAGCCACTTCAGAAAATGTTGGTGTTTGTCCTTGAATTGATTCTTTTTGTGTGTAAAGTGAAATAAATCTGTTGCTTTCTCACATGACAGTAAATAGGGATACTCAGCAGAAAGGGAACATTCTTGATGGAGAGAGGGAAGTATTTAATGTTGTTTTTCATCACTTTTCAATAAAAAAAGTCAACAGTGGTCAGGTGGCTATCGTAATTAATGTGTGACATAAAAGGAAGACTTCAACACTGAATTGAGAAAGAACAAATTAGAAAGTATTTACTGAGGTAAATAGTTATAAATTGACCAAGCACTTACCATGTGAAGGTAAATGCTGTTTAATGGGTGTAAGCTGCCATCTGAAAAACCAGAAATGGTAGCTGAGTATGGGAAAGCTGGATTTGGGGAAATTCAAGCTGGGGGAAGACAGAAGAAAGGAGAAGGAAAGAACTGTGATGTCCCAGTTCAACTTTGAATCAATACTTTTCAAAGTGGGAGATTTTCTTCGTGGGAGAGTATCAAGATGCATTTTAATGGAATTTTGACCCTGATATCATTTGCTATTCAGATGGACTGATGAAATACGGTCAAGCTGAAAATATTACCAGTAGAGCACAGAACTGTTTGGAAAATTACTTGGGAGACTAGTTATTTGTGGCTCATTATCAGCATGGAAAAGTGTGTCGGATTAAATTCCCAGGTGTGTCAGGATAAGGCAGACGAGGAGAACTGTGTCTTTTCCATACCTCAGTGGACAGGGCAAGAGGCAGCGCGCTTAGACTCGTAGCAGGAGAAGCTGCGCAGCGGTGGCCGTGCTGCAGCGCTGCAGTGCGCTGCTGGGGAGGGCTGCTCTGGCCTCGGCACGGGACGTCTGTGAGAACCGTCTGGGCATATCCCTTTCCAGAAAAGCTTAGTGGTTCTTGCCTTAAAATAGAGGAGACAGGAGAGAGCGGGGTTACCTAAGCTCTCTGTATCAATGAACTGGTATAACTGTTGAAGTGTTTCTCAGTTGTGCAAGTAAATCAGTAAGATTTCAGGCATGAAGTGTGCTTAGAAATTGATGCCAATTTTAGAAAAGTGTGTAAACATTAAAAAAAGTCCTACTTCTTTTACAGCATATAAGTGCGTATCTTCATTTTGCAGTTTCCTAGAATTTGTCCCTTTCCCAACTTATTTACAATATAGTTTATGAATGTAAATCTCTCAAGTATATAGTCGTTATCAAGGTTTTTGGGTTTTTTTAAAAAAGTATGTAGCTGCCTGTTTTTTTTTTTTTTTTTCTCTCCCTCCTTTCTCTAAACTCAGACACGGTTGGCCTTAGCTGGAGAGCTCTTGCCTGGAGGTAGTTTCTAAATGACTTTTGGTTTTGTTGATTATCATTGTTTATTGTGATAACATTTATTCGTGCAAAATGCTTGACATTATTTACCTGGCCTTTGTCTGCAAATAATTTTATCGTTCAGTGTGTGGTATTGGAGTAGATTGCTGCATCCTATATCAAGAGTGAAAATCTGCCACTGTTGCTGAACAGAAAAGAATATGGGGAGCAAATACTGTAAAGCGCACTTAATATCAACTTGCTTAATTCCCATTTCTTTTTAATGTTTTTCTTTTTTTTTTTTCCCAAGCATCAAGTCACACAGCAAAGCTATAGTATTAAGACTTCTATTTATTGTCAATTGAATATTAAATCATTTTTTGTTAAGTGCTTTCAGGGCCAGTTTTATCTGCAAAGCTCACTGTGAAAGAAACTGCAGCAAAATTCAGTAACGCCATCAAAACAGTTTGTGAATGGAATGCTTATCATTATTTCAACCCTCATTCTAATGATTAAACCAGACTCTTATCTTTGTATTAAAAAATCTGATAAAAAAGAAAAGGTTGGTATTCGCCAAGTTATAAGAAGTGTTATTAAACAAGAAGACAACGCTTGTGAAATTGCAAACAACGCATGTTTGCAGTTCAAACCTAGACCCAGAAAACTTAGTTGAATTGTTCAGCTAAGTCAATGGTTCAATCCTGTGGGCTAGGATTTGGTATTCTGTTGGATTCCCATGGGCTGTGTCTCAAGAGCCTCTAGAAAAATTGTAGTAATTACAGCTATAGTTGCCCTTCTCATCTGAAAAGCTAAAGACACGAAACACTTGAAAACTGCAGGTACTTATTATTGAACGGGTATATGTCAGGAGAAGTTGATGCTACAGGTTAGGAGACTTGGGTGGCTACTCCGTGTCTTTTCTTTTACAGATTTTGATCTGTTGCCTCTCTTTAGCATTAGATTTCCACTAGAAAAAAACAATTTTCTCAGCATGGTGAGACAAATATCAGTAATTCTGCATTCTCTTACTTGTTGCAAATGGGGCTTTTTCAGACACAGTAAAAGAGGTGTAAGATCAGTTCGTGTTTCATATTTCCTACCGACTAAGTGCATGGTATAAAGAGCCATGGTACTGTGGCTTACCCGATACATACTAATTAGGCTGTGGATCTGCAAGCTGAGTTTGCTGTGTTTAACTGGAAATTGACTCTCTTGTTAATACTCTTCAAGGACGAATTACAGGGTATGTCATTCTTTATGCCTGTAAATTGGAAGATTTGTTAACGCATTAATGCTTACAAGATATTAGAGTTTACAATATGTTGTATATACCTAAGTGCGTAGGAAAGGATGAATTTTGTTTTGTTTGGATTTTTTGTTTCAGGTTGATTTTTTTTTTTTAAGCACCTCTTGCTTTATGAGATCACGATAATGGTCATTAGTGGATATTCCAACCAGAATTTAATATTCAGGTTATAAATTATTATCTTCATAAAAATAGTCTAAGTTGATTACTGTCAATTTGAAGACAGGGAAAAAAAATACAAAAACAAAACTCAAATCCCAAACACAAAGGACATCAATTGTATGATTTTTTAAGTGAATTATCCTTTTTTTCTTAGCCCTGTAACTTAAAAATACATTTAATTCTGCTTAGAAAGATACATTTCCAGGTGAAATGGATGATATCTAATGCTATTCAGCGATTACAGAAATCACAAATAATGACTAAGCTATTTTCATTAGAAAGGCATTTTTATTATACAGCATAGCATACAGTAATCTAAACGGATAGCTTTGTCTGTGTGTGTGTGTGTGTGTTGAAGACCTTTTCAAAGTGAATTAAGAACTTAAACTAGGAAGTTTCACTAATTTCAAGAGTTTGGGGTCCAGTTGGGTTGATGGGTCAAACTACAGAAGGCAGCAAAGGAAGGACTTTTGGGGCTGTACGTTTTGGACATTATGTAGGAAGCTTCTGCTGTCAGACTTCAGTGCTCTGCTGAGCAATTTTAATGCAGAAGTTCATCACCACATGGACCTTGTTGAGAAAAGATGGATAACAGGGTTTCTGGATTTGTCCTTCACTTCTGTGCAGGAAGATTCAGCTTATATCTGGAAGGAGGAGTAATATATCAAAATATCATTATACTGATTTGTTACCCTTGATACAGACACGTTTCAGGGTCTAGTAGGCTGTGAGGTATCAGAAACTGAGAGGGTATCAGGGTATTAGAAAGGACTGAATCTCCCGGTCAGTATTTTTTTTCTTCTTCATTTTTTTAAAGATAGCATTTTTTTTGAGTTGCTCTTAAAAACCATCCTTTCTCTGATTGTCAATCACTTATCAGAGTCATTACCAGAAATGCAGATTTCTCTTGTCTGTTTTTAAAATAAATATTCAAAACTACTAAGAAAAGTACAAGCAATACAAAAAGACCCAATCTATCCATTTCTTCATTTACTTATGAAACAACATATCGTATCGCTGATATCTCTATGGGAACTTGTGTAATTACTCTTTGAGCTAGTGCAGGATAATTTGAATGTCCCTATGTAAATTGAAAGGATGTTCAAGTGTTTCATGCCTAGGAGAGTTTGGAAGATGAGCCCCAATTTTTATTATTATAGTACTCTTCAAGTACTTTGTAAAGAAAAGGGAGATGATTCTGTGATTTATGAAATATGCATGATGAACTGCTGCCCTTGGAAACAAGTTTTCTTTGCAATTTTGTGACTATTTAAAATCAGCTGTCACTTAGACTGCTCTGTCCTGTGTCATGTGATGTAAAAAATATTTTAAATAGGATAAAAAAAATACTTTAAAGAAGATGTCGAAGGGACTTTGCTTTCCAGCAGGTCACTGTTTCTTTAAGTATATGATTCACCCTAAAATGAAATAATTCTAGAGTTGAATTGTGTTTAGCCTATAGAAGGGATTGCAGGTTCAGCTTTTATAGGTGTTTATTTTTATTTTTGTAATGCAATCTTTGCAATTCCGTGTATTCAGTGGTGATAACTTGTTTAAAATTTTAGTTTTATAAACCGATTATGATGTGTTTTTGGACATGACTTTTATCGTGTGGTATTTTGGTTAGGCAGCAAGTAATACGCTGCTTCTAGTACCACAGAGGAATATAGTCACTTGGGTTTGTACTACAGTACAAGATAGTTTTTACTAAAATGCGTTAGTGAGTGTATCCTCAGGGGGATGGCACTCATCTTCTGTGAATCTCTGTTTGATACATTATGTGTTTGAGAAAACACGGTCTGACACTGGTATGAGTGACCTCAGCAGAAGAGATCTGCTACGTCACTGATGCATTTAGAGTGGAATTTCGTAAGATGTTGACAGTGTTGAGCAGAGTTTGTCCTATTACTTCTCATTGCAATTATTTCCTTTATTCAATGTTTTGTACTGCATATATAACACAGTAACTAAATGTAGGCAAACTTTCTAATGGCCTTTTCTTTTTTTTCTCTTTTTCATTTTAACTAGAGTCTGTGTGTGTTCACGCCACCAGGAGCTAAAGAAGGACAACCACGGCTCATTCCTGCAGGGCCCATTGCACTTGGCACTACAGTATCTGCTTATGTAGCCAAATCCAGAAAAACGTTGTTAGTAGAAGATATTCTGGGGGTAAAAAAAGAACTTCCTCTTTTTGACGAAACAAATACAACATGTTCTTAGTATATTTTGGTGCTGACGTATTTATTGAGCTGGATGTATAATGATATCGTTTACAACTGCTCTACTGCTGAGGAAATAAGTTAGAGTTTGGATTAGCTTGACAGAATAGTTATAGAATATTGTTTTCACTTTGAAACTTAACTTTTTTTTGTCTTCAAACATTCATTTTTGGTGGCAGAGATTGGAACAAATGGTACCACGGCTCCTTAGAAGGAAAAGACACTATTGGTCAAAACTCCTACCCTCCTGGTTTTAAAATACTCTGTGTGCTAGTCCCAAACATAAGATTTCTATATAGTCAAACAGAGTCTGATTTAATTTTAACGCTTGGCTCATGCTGATGAGGATGTCAGTCGAAATTCTGATTATTAGACAAGAGTTTGATCTGTGTTTATGTGAGGTCAGAGCACTTAGAATAGTTTCAGTAGACTTACAGCAATTGTGATCTAATGTAATCGACATTTAAACCCAGTCCTTTTTATGTAAAGGATCTGATAATTCCGATTTGACTTTCTGATAACTGTTGTCACTCTGCATGTTTTGGGTTTCCTTATTTTTTCTTTTTTTTTTAAGTACATTTTTCTAATTGTGTCTCTGACATGGTATCAAGCTGATAAACTATACTTTTTGAGAATTAAAAGCAAATTTAAATGCTGTCTTAATTGTTTTCTACTTTTTAAAGCCCTGTTTAAAATAAAAATCTTTGGATACTGCAACCAAAATTGAACATTGTCACATGCAGTTTAAAAAGTACTTTTTCAAAAAAAAAAAAAAAAAAGCTTAATTTGAGCCCACTTACAAGAAAAAACCCACCGAAGTCTTTCTTTGTAGTACAGTTGGTACTTCCTATAAGCCATGCACTATAAAGCTTTTGTATGGTCTTAGTGTTAGGGTTTAAAATGTCATTGGTAATTTCCAGCAATTTAACTTTCTTGATAAAATCAGGGATATTAAGTGCGTAGGAGTTCTGAACTCTGATGGTTTACAGTACCTGTGTGTTGTTGACTGAACCTGAGACTAATTTCCTTTTCTTAAGTGATTTTTGCATGGGCACATTAAGTATGTTCATACACAGGGCATGCCTGGATACAGGGTGCCCAGAAGAAACCAAATGTGTTAATGTGCTTTTGTTGTAAAATTCAAGTTGCGACTCTCCGCAAAGGCTCTGCTGTCTGGTTCGTAGTTCCGTGTATCAGGGCACGGGGTAGTCGCTTCTCCTGGGATTTTTAGGAGTGCCTCAAAAATAAAAGGGAAGCATTTTTACGTAGATGAACCAGCCCTTTTCTGTACAAGCCAGAATTAAAAAGTGAAAGCAGGAGGCTCATATTGCAAAGTGCTTGCCACTCTTTTTTTCTGAGACTTTGTGAGAGGCAGTCATGTGTATCCCAGCCATTCCGGTTTAGCAATAAAGGTGCAGGTTTTTTTCTTTTTTAGAACAGAGATTCCTGCCCTCTCAATGTGTTGATCATGTGTTGATCCTTGAGGAAAAGGGGATGCCTCCCTTTCCTTAGCACAGCCTTAGGGATCAAATGGTGGGCATAAAATATCGCGGGGACCAGTGTGTAACAAAGTGGGTCTAGGATACTTCAGGTAGGCTGGTTACCACACTGCTGATAACTACATACAGGTCGACTTTGTTTTTAAGTTTCAGGCATAGGGAGCTAAAGCTGTAAAGCCTTGGCCATTCCCTTGTTCAATCACAAGTTAACAAATTTAAGCCTTCTGTAGTAGCAGGTGGTAGATTAATATTAACCTTTATTCCTGTAACCTTTGCGCAGGCTTACTCAGAGTGCATAAGCAAAGGAAGGATGGATTCTTATTCATGCATGTTTTTTTGGAAACTCAGTTTTGTCCTAAGTTTTTGGTTAGGATTGTAACTCTATGTTACGCAAAACTCGATGCCAAGGCTCAGGTTTTGGTATTTATCCTGTTGCAAGGGCTTCCAGCTGCTTGGTAACACTGAAATCTGAGCAGCCTTCCTCATAATTACAGATACCTTTTGCATCATCCAGGCTGGCATTAGCAATGACGTGCTGCTTTTGCTGCGTGTGAGATTGAAGAAAATCTACTTAAAAAACAAACCCCAATTTGGGTGTAATATCATACCCAAATCTGACTGCATCTATAAGTTTATGTGTGTATGTAAATTATGCTGAGAATTTTTTTTTTGAACTTTTCAGTAAGTGGATTAGGACTTCATGCTGATTTGATCAGCCAGGAGAGGGAGAAAAGTGTCAATATATCTTTTATATTAATGTTATGATATTTACATTTTATAAAACTATGTTTATATTTTCTAGGATGAACGATTTCCCAAAGGTACTGGACTGGAATCAGGGACTCGTATCCAATCTGTTCTTTGTTTACCAATTGTCACTGCAATTGGTGATCTGATCGGTATCTTGGAGCTTTATCGTCACTGGGGCAAAGAAGCCTTCCATCTTAGTCACCAAGAGGTGAGCCTAGTCTGCTGTAGTTCGTTCTGAAATTTCCCACTTTGGAGCAATGTTCAGCACTTCAGACTCCCAAGCTTGCTTCTCTTAGTCTTCTGAGTCTGTTTTACTTTATTCACATTTGATTTTATTATTCTGGAAAGTTATTTATTGAAGAGATAGTTAATGATTTGTTTTTTCAGTAACATTACATACACAATTACAAGGCATTTAATTTGTTTTATGGAACAATGGTCCTGAGGATATGATTTGTTTATTGTTTATAAGCTCAAGAAGGTGGTCAATACAGAACAGGTGAATGAAAATATATAAATTGCATACATTTATAATATGCAATTATAAATGTAGAAATAAAACTGCTTTATGTAGAAAGGACACTGGCAACTTACCTTGGATCTCAATTAAAACTTTCCAGTAAAGGTTTATTTTACAGTGTGGAACAACTTCCTAGATCTTACAGGAGGAGAAAATTATTTTATTTTAAAACAAAACTTAAGCAAAAGAGATTACAGACATTCACGTTCTCATACCCACACACTCACAGGCACCAAGACGTGGTCCTTCCAAGACTGAGGCACCAAAGTTCATGTATCCGGGTAGTATCTCAAGGATTCCTTGCAATACGTGGAGAACAAGGTCTGCCGGCTGTAGAGTCATGTCTCCTGCTTTCTTCTTAGGTTGGCAGTAGTGCCATTGCTACATGCTGTTCTTAAAACCCTCTTCTCCTTTTGGTGCCTCCAATCTGGATATTTCTGTTCATACTCATCTTCACATTTCAATTACAGTTCTCTACCTTGCATGATTTACTACATAAGGCCTGTGGATTTTTGCTGTCCCTATGTGTCCATCTCAGATTGTTATGTTATGTGTTGTTAGCCATGTGCAGACAAATAAGAAAATGAAGTAGATGACTCAAAGCCTGCGGATACTTTAAAGGTTTCAGAACATTTATCTTACTGTCAGGTCTAGATGTGGATCCGTGTTATGTACCATCTCCTTGTAAGATGACTCAAAAATGCATCATTTCTGTCTGTACCCTTTGAAGGGAAGGGAATTTGAACACAAAGGCTAGAAGGAACTGAGGTGAATTTTAGCAGGGTGTATTGTCTGCACAGTACAGGATTCACTCTGGAGCATATGTGCTCTTCAGTTTAGCTATGGAAAAGAGTAATTATTTGGGGGGAGAAAAACAGAAACTTTTTTTTCTCCCATCTAGAAGATCTATTCTCTGGACAAAAGTGCATGATTTGTCTGTTATGTATTCTATTTATCAATAATCCAGGTGGCCTAATCTGATGCACATGATTGTGTGTTGGCTGGGCGGTCAGGAGAGGTGTAGCTTCAGCCTCAGTGTGACACCTGGTTTCTTCTCTCAGCAAGCAAAAGTCGTGGTGCAGGGCTGAGATAATATGGTGGTGCCCATATGTCACAGGACAAAGCACAGGGCTTCATACAGAGACAGGCTTACACACAATGTATTTATTTTAATATATTATTCTATTTAATAATAACCATTACTCAATTTGAAATTCATATAGGTCTCAGACAAGCATTGTTCCTTGCAAAGCGTCTGTGTATCTTTTATGTTATATTTAATACCTTCCTTAACCCAAGTTTATTAATGTTGTATTTGTGTGTGTGTGTGTATATATATGTATATATAAAAGACTACTGAATAAAAATGTTTAATTAGTAAATTGAAAATATTTAAAGGTCACTTTGTGAGCATTCTGAAATGTTCTTTTTCGGATTTCAGGAAGTCTTTGGATGCCATTAGGAATTTTTACAAAATGTGCACAATATGTTCTGTTGAAAAAATGTACATTAGGAGGATGCGCAGCCTCAGACCTCTTGCACTTCTGTCCTCTGTGTTCCTATAAAGCTCGTGTGTTTCAAGGACAGGAGATTATGCATGGTAGCACCTCTTAGTTAACTGCAGTTTACGTGACATTTGTTTGAAGTGTTGCCTGGAAACTGGCATACTTAAAACACTAGTCTGTGCTGAGTGATGAGGTCTGTTTTTTCTGCAACCAAGATGGTAGTGAAAGGAAGAGTGCCTGTTCAGAGCTGCAAGCAGTTGTGCCTGCGAAGGTGAAGCCCCCCGGGTAGATGTTAGGGGATATTTTGCTCAATTTGGTTGATTCCCTTCAGCAGCGTACACAATGTGATTTTTAAAGCCCCTTGAATTATAGGAGGGTTGTTTTTAATTTGTGTATTCCTGAGCAGATAAAGAATGTTGGTAAGCGTCGTTGCACCACAAAAAGTAGGATTATTCTGTGGCTGAGTGTACCTTGCTGAAATGGAAATACTCTCAAGTATACTGCAACTTGCACAAAGTAAATGTCTTCCCCAAAAATGTTGCTACTTTGTCTGAAACAGCTCCATAAGTTTATTTAGCAGCTTGATTGAGAGAAGAATGTTGGTAAGCATCGTTGCACCACAAAATGTAGGATTATTCTCCTGTGACTGAGGGTACCTTACTGAAATGGGAATACTCGCAAGTATTCTGCAACTTGCACAAAGTAAATGTCTTCCCCAAAAATGTTGCTACTTTGTCTGAAACAGCTCCATAAGTTTATTTAGCAGCTTGATTGAGAGAATTATGATGTAACTGGTGTGAAATTTTCAAGCTTTCATCGGAGTTTGTTTTTTCTCTTTTTGTTTCAGGTTGCAACTGCAAATCTTGCATGGGCTTCAGTAGCAATACATCAAGTACAAGTGAGTGTGGGTTGCTTTTCCTGTTCTACATTTTGTGCCTTAAATTTAAACTAGTGATCTTTCCTAAAAATTAATTTAAACTCCTTCCTCAAAGCTGGCAAAAATATGGTAATATTTCTGGCGTTCATTGAACTGGTTTTCCTCCCCTGCAACTATGAATCAAATGATTTAACTATGGTTTTACTAAATGAAAAAGGAACTTCAGCGAAGGAGATAATTGTTAAAATAAAATTAAGTAGAAATGTGCCTTAAATTTAAACTAGTGATCTCTCCTAAAAATTAATTTAAACCCCTTCCTCAAAGCTGGCAAAAATATGCTAATGTTTCTGGCGTTAATTGAGCTGGTTTTCATCCCCTGCAACCATGAAACAAATGATTTAAAAAGCAATAGTTTTACTAAATGAAAAAGGAACTTCAATGAAGGAGATAATTGTTAAAATAAAATTATAACAATGCTATGGCCCGTACTTGCGAGGACACAACTGCTAGGCCACCTGGTAGCTTCTTTTCTTCCCATAGTAACTCTTTGAGATGATGAGGCTCTGCTGGGTACCAAAGCCTGCTTTAAGCCATCCCTGCAGTAACCGCTTCTTGGTTCCCAAACTGCCTCCTCTGAGGAGGCCTCAGGCCTAGCAGCTGGCTGCTCTAGCAAACCCCAGCACAGGGTTCCCATGTTTTGGATAATAGAAGACAGGAACAGTGAAAACAGCACATTCCCTCATCTCGGGGAGAACGCAGAAATAGATTCTTAACTCACAAGGAAAGATTTTTACATTCCTCTTTTTCTTCCAAGGTCTTTCAGACACCTTGCAGAAGACGGTCACTCCTTCCTCCTCTCCTTTTCCAGACTGAAATCATTGTCACACTAATGCTGTGAACTCTTGGCTTTGTTCAGGTTCATCGTTCACCTTGGCACGTTTAGAAATTATCTGGCCTAGACTGCAGCAGTGTGAAAATTGCAGTTGTGTACAGCTTTATCTTCCCCTCACTTTCTGCTAATGATTTTGTATTTAATTGAGAAGTCTTTCACATGTGAAAAAAAAAAACAGCACATGAAAAAACATTTTAAGCCTGTCCATTTACCTTTCTCATTTCTCTCCCTTTTGCTCTTCTGGACTCAGATAGAGCACTTTTGCCTCTGAAGCTCTTGCTTGGGAAGGATGTGGGGGGGTTTGATCTGCTTTGTCTACCAGGCTTTCGGTTGTATTTTAGGAAGCAATGTACTTGTAGAAATTGTACCTGGTTACTTTATTATATGCAAGAGTCAGACTTGGCGGATATAGCTTGTCATATTTTGTGGTTATTTATATCTGCATTGCACAGATACAAAATATAAATCATACTTGAGTGTGTAAAAGATGCAGCAAAAGCTTGCTTTCTTTTTTTTAACCTTTATGTTTGCTTTAGTAATGCACAAGTGTTCAAATATACTTTTGATACAAAATAAAAAAATAGATGAAGTAAAAATACAGTTCAGAGCTTTGTTTTATCGAACACTTTGTTTTTCGAGTATAGTATGCATACATTATTTTTAGTGTTCATATTACAGTTTATTTCTCTGAAAGGTAATCATACACTGTTTGCCTTTATTGGGCAAAAGGTTTAGGCGAGCTTGTCTGATTTCCTCCTTTGTTTGTGCCTACGTGCACCTTTACAGCCTGGAAAAACAGGGGTAAAGGAGTAGGGTAAAGAAGAAAGCAAACAAAATATTTAACGTTCTCAGCAGAGTTGAGGATTTGGATGAGGAAGTAGAGTTAAGTTGATTTTGTAACCGCATGCAGGGGCAGTCTGTGAGAAAGCACATACAAATGTAATGACCAACATCTTTAAAAGACAATTAAGAAAAGTGTTATTTATGTTTGACATTTGTAACTCAGCAGATAGGCAAGACTGAAGCCCAGTGCACAATGCCAGCTTTGTAAGAGATTTTATATAGTACCATAACATGCATATACTTCTAGAGGTTATTTTTTAATATATGTTTTAAACAAGTAGACTACGTGACTTCAGTCTCCTTCTTGCTTCAGTGTTCTCTTGGAACAAACACTAACACGATTGTGCTTCCAGGTGTGCAGAGGCCTTGCCAAGCAGACTGAACTGAATGACTTCTTGCTTGATGTATCGAAGTAAGTGTGATTTGTACTGTGATCTCATCAATATTTGTTTAGTTTCTCTAACTCAGCTCCTCTAATTCACCTGATTTACAATGTAGCCCACAAACAGATGCAATACACACCCCAGTAGGCAGGCAGACTTAAGCACAAGGGCAAGAATGAACGATGTGTATAGCAGTGGGTGTATCCTTGGTGAAGTGTTTTTTTATTTCAGTGTAGGGAGAAAGTGGAACATCCAGGTACACCTTACAGAATTTATTTGCTGTTGTGGTTTTTTTTTATATATATTTTCTCTTCTATCAGAGTTAAAGATAGTCCTTTATGGAAAAGAAACAAATAGGCTTCTTGTCTCCTCTGTTTATTATCAATTTTAGAAGGCTTGCATGGTTTTTTACAAGAAGATATATAGCTTTCTTCAGCCATTTTTATTTTGATTTATATGTACAGATGTACACTCATGCTCACATACAAATACACACATGCACACACACTTGCATATGTATATATGTTTCAAGGATGTCATCTTGAAGAATCAGAGCTGCCACACAACTATTTTTCCTCTGCATTTTCTGGAGGCCCTATTTTCATTTTGCAAGAACTGTCACTTTGTATGGTATGTTTTCTTCTAATTATTTGTCATGATAAAGGAAAGCTTAAATTGAAAAGCCAGGAAAAATATGAAAGATTACTTTTAGTCCTGTAAAGTCGACTTAAAATGTCTTAGGTGATCTATTCTTTGTGCCTGCTATCATTATCTTAAATAGTAGAGATGGCCAATAAACTAAAGGACAAAACAAAGTTGTAGTTGTGGTAAATCACAGAGTCTGATGTGCTTGCAGGATTTTATCATCATGCAGGATTGACAACACTGCGGAATAGTGAAGTGGATGTATAGTGTTGCAAACCCTTTCTCAGAGTCTTGATCAACAATTCTCAAACAGATGAGATTAGCGAATGTTCAGGTTTCCCTTCCCACTGTTCAGGAAGGCGGGTAGCTGAGTGACCTCTGCTGAAATGGAGGGAAATAATCTACTCTTTGCAAGGAGGAAAACTTGGCTAAATGCATATGCTTTCCCCAGGTTACTCCCAACAGATGACATTTATTTACTTACTTATTTCATGTAAGATTCTGAGCTTGTTTCCTGTTACCTTTCTCTTGCCAGAGCTACGCATGAGGGCTGCAGTGTCTTGCACTGTTATATTGCTTTTCAGGGTGCCTTTGTGTTGCAAAGTCTGTACTGATCTGTTTTACCAGAGAATTTTTGTATTAATCTGGCCAAATTTAGAGGCTGGCCATTTACTCGTACTGATTGTGTTTTGATTCCTGACTCTATTTTAAGATTTTAAACAAAAATAGCACTAATATTTCAAATATTTAGTAAGTATTTGTAAGTAAATACCTCTGATTCAGCATTGTCAACTGCTAGATTTTTTTCTTCTAGCAAGAAAAGAAAGCCTGTATTCTGAGCCCAAAATTGGGATATTATTTAATAACTTTATGAACAGATGTAGATTAAGATGTGAACTAGCAAGAAAAAATAATAATTTGCTTTTTAAAATGATTTGTACTTTTCTTACATGGAAAGAGGGCTTTGCATTCAGTAAGGCAGTTGTTAACATGCAGTGTCACTGGGGCATTTTGTGTAACATTTTAGAAAGGACATAGTATTGAGTGCACCACGTCTTCATGTCCCCGAAAATGTGAGGCTAATGTATATTTCCTTTTCACTGCACCCAAACAGAAGTGAGCTGTGTATATGTTCAGGGTCATGAGACAAAGCTTTCTGTCTTCTGGGAACATCGTAATCCGAGGGTTATTAAGGTCTGGCATGTGGAAGATTTAGACTTCTCTTACTAATAAGTTTGACCTTTATCTTTCAATGTTCTTGACTGTCCTTGGATAGTTACCATTCCACTGTGAAACTGAGATACCACCTTTCCCCCCTCTTCCCTGCTCTCAGGCACAAGGTCAATCTTTTTCTGCAACTTTAACATCTTACACCTGGGTTAATAGAGAGTTCTCATCATTAAGAGTTTTCTAGTTGCCTTTTAAATACATTAAAGGTTGGATAATATGGCATTAATTTAGCCACAATGCACAATTCTCAATAGTTTTCAGTTCATAGCTCTCCATACTTAATCCTAATGAGATACTTTGAAAGCGCATTGATAAAATATGTATTGAATCATTTCTGTCAAGTGAGAAAGACATTTATTTTCTCTTCTAAATGGCTTTTCGTTTATTTTTTCTACTCCTTTTAAAATTGCTAGTGTGTAGAATTGCCACAGCATTTCAGGATCTATCTCAGTGTTTACTGGGTGGGGACCTGTTCAGTCTATGGTAGGTGATACTTGGTAACATTTGTCTTTTACTTTTCTGGAGTTCTGTATTTGTAGAATAATGACTTAGAGAAACAGAGGTAGGACCATTTCTGAGTCTCCCTCTGGTATAGCAAGCCAGTTAGCACTTCTCAAGTTACAGAGCCCTGTTCTCACCAGTGTCAGCGCCACTGTTAAGCGGTTATGAAACAGGTCCAGGAAAGCCACTTGAAGCGTTTGACTAAATATCATTATTTAATGACCTATCTCTTTTTCTGCAGAACGTATTTTGATAATATAGTTGCAATAGATTCTCTACTTGAACATATAATGGTAAGTTGTCTTTTTCGCTTCTAATTTTTTTAATCTTTATTATTAAAATGCTTGCTTCATTCTCCTTTCCTGGAACTAAGGCATTTTATCACTGAAATGTATGAGCTTTTTGTAATTCACATGTAATACAAAAGATACGAGCAAACCTCAGTGTGGAAAAAAGGGAGAGTGTCAGCTTGATTGTTTGTCACAACAGCTTCGTTGCACAGCTTCCATATTTAGTGAAAAGTGAGGTCCCTGAACTAAATTGTTACTATTGTATTTTAAGGAAGATTTGAAAATTTTATGCAGAAAGACATAATTTTTCTTTCTATTTCAGTATGTTTTATTGATTTTCTTTTTTCGAAATCCAATTTGTTACTTGCTTCAAATACTCCTCAAGAAGCTGATGTCTGTCGGAAGCACTAGAGGTCCACTGTTACTCCTAGAATATTTGCTAATGATGTACAAAGAACAAAACATCCCCTTTGCTTCACAAAGTGATTTATGCCCCTACTGTCAATATTTGCCCCTGGTCAATATTTTTATAAAAAACACTAAACCCTGGTGAGCTGAAATAGGTAACAGACTATGGTTTAAACATAATATGGCTTAATGAAATTAAAGTATATTTCAGAAATAGATTATAACTTTTTCAAATCAAGTTGCAATTCAGGATTATTTCCTGGACAGTGTCTACAAATACCTGTGAATCGTTTGCTCATGCTGTACTTTTGGTGGTTGGTATATCAATTTTACTGTCTTGCTTTTGCACCCTCATTGCATACTGCAGACTTTCCCCTGAGTGTAAATCTTAACACATTCTCCGATTGCTTCAATCTACACATTCAAAATTTGCTTTCCAGCAATATTTTGTTACTTGTCCTGATCTTCCCAGTGATCATCTTAGCTAGCATATTCTAAGGCAGCTAGAAATACTAACAGTATAAAAAAACTGGGTTTTTTTGTTTGTTTTTTTTTAAAAAAAAAACTTGAATAATTTTTTTAACATTTAAAAGAAGTGGCATAATATATCTTAGGACATGAACAAATATTCATGTTCTTCTCAATGAATAATAATCTTGTGGAAAAAACAATTGACAACAAATTATGCTTACTCTTTCATTTTCTTTACCAGCGCTTGCTGCTTCACAATTCTGTTTTGTAACCCGCATAGACACTTCATGCTCAGATTCCTTTGTAATGTGTTCTAATTAGCTGATTCTGGGCCACTTAATTGAATTGCTTGTTTTCGTGTTTCTTGCCATTTTACTGGGGTGTGATTGTTGTTGTGTGTGGTACGTTCTGGTTCTCACAATGAGAAAAGAGCGAGAATGAATTTCACCTCCCTACTTCATGTTTGAGCGATTGCATTTAAAGTTTGGAGAAAAAAAAAAACAGTTGATTTACAATACTAAAATCCCTCTACTTTTATTTTTCTTTTCTTTTTCATTAAAATTCCTCTGTGAAGATAGTACTATGACAGAAAATGCCCAAAAATGCTTAAAAATAAAGCTGTTTTTGAATACAGATGAGATGCAAAAGTTCAGGTTGCCTTGCAGATTTTCTTAGCAGTACGTTTGAGTACAGTTAAAAGCAACCTACGTGAAAGGTGGTCACGTTCACTGCCTGACAATGCCAGGACTACTTTTTGATATTCTTCTTCAATCATTGGCCTGGATTTGAGCCAGGGTTTTTGAGAAGAAAGACTTCTGTGTGCCATTAAAGTTTTATCTCAATTAGTCTCAATTAGAGTCATGGCCAAGGTAAGTTCTTGAGTCATGTGCATTAGAACACAAAATTATTCTAATTTGGTTAGTGTTGTTGATTTATACAGAAATCTGATAGGGTTTCAGAGTAGGGGCGCAGATTCATTTACTGAACCTTTTGGCACAGTTCATATTCAGTCCTCTGTTCAAGCAGTATAGAGTATGAATAGATGTGATACTTAAACTTATTAATCCTCATAATAGGACGTATTTTACAAAAGTTGCCTTCTCAGCTGGCAGTCTTCCTGTTTCCCTTGTTCTAATGGAAGGCATTAGAAAGCAGAGGAATCTTCTAACCACAAATTCTTCCAGAACTGAAGGGCTCTCCAGGTTTTGTAAGCTGGTCTACATGGCTTCTGTACAGCTTATGTTACACAGCTTGTATGACATAGGATAAAAGCTTCACAGCTAATGATTTACCACCTCATAGGTTCTTCCTGCCAGCATCTAACATTCTTCCTTCTGCATTAATTCTAAAAGGATTTTGCGGGTGGAGGAAAGGTGAGGAGGGGAGAAAGATGAGTTAGGTGATTCGTATTGGAAGGTTTGAGAAGTCTTAGATATCCCCTGTGTGTGTCCTGCACAGTGAGTTGCAGTCAGTTTCTTTCCTCGACCCAATGAGTAGGTAGGTATTATATACAGTTGGAACAATTCATATAAAATTGAAATGGAGAGGGATCTACCTCAAACCATTCTGTGACATGCAGTTGTTGCAGCTTCTGCACAGTTGAGGCTGACATTAGGAAGCTCTTTCTGAATTGGATCAAGTCCAGGACCTGATTATATGGCTTAAGTTGACACAGTGATCATTGATTGACTTTCCTTGGCTCATTTCCCAGTTCCCAGAAACTCCATCCTAAATCTGAGAAACATTTCTGTGAAAAGCTCATCTGTTTCGGGGACAAGTTTCTGTTCTGACAAATCAGAATTAGCTTTACTGAAATAAAGTCAGTTAGTTTATGCAAGTACACTGCTGGACTGTGGTAGTTCTTTGGCTGCGAGTCGTATCTTTTGGAGTATGGCTGGTTCACGTAGAACTGGTTGGGTTTTGACTTTTGTGCTGAACTGTCCATAACATAAGGAGGTTGTCATCATTTTATAAACCATTGCATATGGCAGTCTGTCTTTCTGCTTCTATTTTTCTTCCATTTGTTTATTGCTACGTAACACAGAAATGCACATTTTGCTGTTTCAAAAGCAAACTCTGGCCTCTGTTATTTTTTTCCACTGCGTATCCAATGCACTAAAGTATGCACTAAAGACAAAAAGACCAAAGTGTTGTTAGGTCTTCGTATATCTTATCTATTCAAAATCATGTGAAAACTAATAATTTTTTAAAATAGGTAAAAATGTAAAAAACCAACCAAGCAAAAAACCCCATTCTTTGCACCCAGAAAAACAGTCTACTTGGAAAGACATTTTTTCTTTAACAAACAAGTCTCAAGAGATATGCTCGCATTTTTTCAATCAGAAAAGCATTTTGCTTTACAGAAAATAGTAAATATAAAACCCACTTCCTTTTTAAATTGTATCCTGAAAGATTGCCCTGAAGGTGGATGCTGCTTCAGAGAGATGTACATACTGGATAAGTTCTCAAAACTTTTAACTTATCAGGCCTTATGAGATAAATGACTAAGGGTGATTAACATAGGATGGTTAATTCTGATTTTGTTTTTTTTTTTTGTCTGTAGATATATGCAAAAAACCTGGTGAATGCAGACAGGTGTGCGCTCTTCCAGGTAGACCACAAGAATAAGGAGCTGTATTCAGACCTTTTTGATATAGGAGAAGAAAATGATGGAAAACCTGTCTTCAAGAAGACCAAAGAAATAAGGTAAGAGGAGTTTGGAGAAGAATGCAGTGCCATTATAACTATGGATGTGCAGGCATTTTATTACCCAGTCTCTGTGCCTATCTGCAGGTACCCTGACAATACTTGTCATACTGTGATATCATTCCCACCAGGACCCGCCTCCAGAAGGTAGTACTTCTGGGAATGACATTGCAGTGCCATCGAAACAACGTCTCTGAAGCTATAACGTCACTCCTGGAAATGCCGTCTTCCGGAGGCGGTCCTTTTGGAAATCATGTTGGGAAAAAAACAGAGGTGTTCTGAGGTAGGTAAAGGTGCAGGTAAAGATGCACCTAATCCATGGTTGTGCCAATATGGGACATTTTTTTGGAGTTCCCAAAAGGAATTGAAATATGTGCTACTCAGGCACATCCAAAACAAGGAAATCACAATTTGTACCTGTTATGAATGGATTAAGCATACATAGGATCTTGTAGAGGCTAATCATTAGTTTTGAAGAATTTAATGGTTTCATTTTTTACCTTTTCTCATCTGAGCTTAGAATATTTCCAAACTTCTGAATGGTAGTGGTTCTGGAGTATGCTTGAAATGGCGAATTTGAAATGGTGAATTTGAAAATGCATGTGGATTTGTAATTAGTAGATAGAATTCTCTGCCTGAAATTGCTGTGGACTTCAGGTTTATGTCACAAGTACAAGTTTTTTAAATGTATGTGTCTTTCTAGAAAGCGAGTCAAAGCAACAAAGTCAATATTTTTCACTTTTCAGAAGTGCTGAATGCTTATCAGTGTGTCTGTTGGTGCAAGATTTTCAGATACACAGGATTTAAAACTATGCAATTAAAAAAAATGTATGACTAAGTGTCCTGTATTAATATTTCTATTAAAATAAACAATCAGCAGCAAAATTCTCAGATTTTTTTTCTTTCAATTTCTTCACGTATCATTGAACTTCTAGGCCAATATGAGATATGATTCATGTCTTCACTTAGATTCCTTTAGATGAACTTACTCCTACTTGCTTTGTGTGAGTAAGAATGGAAGGAATCAAAATTAGTGCAATTACATAGTGACAAGCAAGGAGGTGGGGTAAATTAAAGAAGAAAGTGGCCTGCTTTAACATATACTTTTGTGCTCCTACTTAATAAATGTTTTTCTTGCCTATATGCTACTGTCTTTTTGGTATGAATGTTCTTGAAATGTTGACACTGAGTGCAAGAGTGTGAGCCTTTTCAGGATGATTTATGCTGAAAGAGAAATAAATGACTGTAAGAAAGCAACAGTGAGTCAGTCTTTAGAAAGGAATGTAAATTGCTGTGATATACATACGAGAAGCAGTAGAAGAAACTAACTTAAAACTAGTTGTATGGGCTGAAATCATGTCAGCTTTGTCAGTGACTTCAGTGGGGACAAGGTACTACCCAGGTACTTTTAGATTTGAAGGTGTTCTGCCTGGGATTCTTTCTAGTTACTCTTATCTGGAAACCCTTTGGAGCTTACATGTCGTAACTGCTTTATGTTGAAGAAAAATTACTTCCTAGCTACACTGGCTTGTATGGCTTTTTGTTTGTTTGGAGATTTTTCTTGTTTTGTTTCCTGATTCAATTCCTCAGTATATTTGCTGTATGTAGTTTTTTTTCTATTGTGTAGTACTGGTGGTGTATTTGGTACCCCTGCATTTTTTGCCATAAGATGCAACATGCTAGTTATTCTGAAGTGTACACATGTAATAGTACATATATATGATGTCTAGCTTTGAAATGTCTGCTGATTTTTTCCAGACTTTATTTTACCAAATCCACCTTTCTCTTAAAATACCAAAAATACCCTAAACGTGATGATGAGATCAATAGTACATAAGGGTAAACACAATCACAGGTTTTGTAAAAATGTGTTATGTAATAGACATAATGTCAAAGGTTAGGAATACTGATTTTTTGTCGCTAACCTAGTTATATTATGGCATCTTTTATTTTCAAATATATAGATATGTAAAATATTTTCAGGAAGTATCTGTTTAAATACATGCTTTCTATTGTTTTATTTTCTATTAGTTGTTGTCTCGTAAGATTTTTCTCCCACAAGCATCTAACTAATGCGGATCTGGAGCAAATATCCATTACTGTACCTGAGACAGACTCCCGTGGACAAATATTTTTCCAGATTGTTCATATTGTGACTAACACACATTTTTGTTTTGTGCAGATTCTCTATAGAAAAAGGAATAGCTGGTCAAGTGGCAAGAACAGGGGAAGTCCTTAACATCCCTGATGCCTATGCAGATCCACGCTTTAACAGGTAGGAATTTATTAATGAGGAGATTTGTGGGAAAGATGAGAACATAGGTCGCTGAAGTTTCTACTTAATTTAATGCTAAAGTTTCAAATTAGGATGCATCTATAGAACTGTGATCGTCTGATGAAAGACAACCTATAGATACCACAGAACCACATGTATGTCTGAATGTTTTGGCCATTGGAGGTATTTTTAAGAGAAAAAAATATAAAGCATTATCTGCGCCTTATATAAAAATCCCAAAGAAAGATTTATTGCTTTTTTATCCTAACAGCCCAGTTAGACTGACTGTTGCTGATTTTGTTTATTAGCCTCCCTGCAGTCTGATTGAGTTGGAGGTGAGGAGGAATAACACAAAAAAAAAAAAGTAATCTGAATTTTTAAAATGAGCAGTCCTTTCATATGAGGAAGTTTTAATTATTTATCTTGCCAATGGAAAATAAAGGATTAAAATTATTTTGAATTCCAACACAGCATGTGCACATATGTAAAACCTATGGAGATTAATTTTTTAAAATTACTAGTTATGTCTGCCTTAATGTCTAGTTTATTGTACAAAAACATTATTAGGAAACAAAGAATAGATTCTAATAAATAAGATTAACTCTTTTTTTTTTTTTATCCCCTTCTTCTTTCCTGGCTCTCCAGAGAAGTAGACCTCTATACAGGCTACACAACCAGAAATATCCTGTGCATGCCTATTGTAAGCCGAGGAAGTGTTATAGGTGTTGTGCAGATGGTGAACAAAATAAGTGGAAGTGCCTTCTCTAAAACCGATGAGAACAACTTTAAAATGTTTGCAGTCTTTTGTGCTTTAGCCTTACACTGTGCTAATGTAAGTTTTACTTACAGTTTTTTATGCTCTTCGTTACAATGTGAAGACTTAGAGTCCTAGTTAAGGATTTAATCTGTTATTTCATCTTCCAGATCATTAGCGATTCATAAGTCTGTTTTGTTGAATTAAAAGGGAAACGACAATCACTAAATTCTTTGCAGAATAACTGCATTTTAAGAGGCTGACAGGGATTCATTTGATGCGTTTTGAAGTAGTTGTACTCTGGATACATCCCTTTCATGTAGCTAAATCTAGACAGCATACAGTGAGTGATATCTATGTACTCTTTTTCATTAGGAATTATGATTCCTACTTACTTTTACAAATTCCTATAATATATTTTACAGCGTTAACCAGGGATGGAGATGGTGTATAAACTTTCCACTCAAAATATTTTTATTTTTATATGCTATGATATATACTTATAATTAGCTATTCTTCTAAACAAAGCCTGTATTTTCAACCCAAAACTTTAGAAAGAATAAAGAATGTAATGATCATTACTACGTACGTGTAAAAATCTAACGCTAATCTCTGTAGAAGAAATACACCATATGCATTGGAGGTAGGATACAATGACAGGTGACAGGTCTGGTGATTTACATTAAGCCTTTTCAGATCATGCTGACATTGTACAAGAGCAGTAAACCTTTCTTACACTCACTTTAAGCTTGTTCCACATGACTCAAGGCAAAGAGAGGCCTGCATATAAATGAAACTTGGGACTATACAGTCACTATTGTAGTGAGTTCATGCTGTTTAGATGATGAAGCTTGCCATTCAGGGCATATTGCCCCAGAGATTGTCTTTACTATAGCACGTCTTTACTTGTTTACAAACCATGCCACCTCTACAGTAGTTGACATTCAACATCTCAATAGTTGTTGAGACTTATTTTTCACTGTTACTGCATTGTAATGTAGATACGATAAACTTTGCATGTACTTTTTATTCATGGAAGTACGTTACTTGGACCAGATAAGTCATGTTCGTGCAGTGACACAAAATGTGAATTGTGCTCCATTACCAGTTTTCTTTTTGTCATCCATATTGCAAGGGGCTGAAATAGACTCCGACATCTGAATTCTGATTCCTTTTCTTGGGAGAGATCAGGAGATGATGAAAAGTGGCCAGAGCCCTCAGTTTTCTACCCAAATGAGTAGATGCAGAGAGGTGTGATATTCTCAAAAGTTTATGGGCACCTGTTGAGAACCTAAAAGGCCCAGTTTTCCATAAGTACCAAATTTCTGTAATCTTTCACTTTTTAGAGGTGTGGAGTTGGACAGCCAAAATAACTGATATTTTTGGATATAGATATTTAAAGAATCAATGCTTGGTTAGAGGAAATAAATATTATCTGCAATACTAAAATCTCCCGTTAACGCGTAATTTCTGTTTCTCAGATGTACCACAGAATTCGCCATTCAGAGTGTATTTACCGTGTAACGATGGAGAAGCTCTCCTATCACAGTGTTTGTACAGCAGAAGAGTGGCAAAATCTCATGCACTGCACACTGCCTCCACATATCTGTAAAGAAATTGAACTGTAAGTATTTGTTCCTAACAGCAACAACTACAACTCATATCTAAAAGGTTGGGTTTTTTTTCCTCCTAGATATAGTGCAGGGTTTGTAGGAAGCACTGTTAGTACAGAATGATTCCAAACGGTAGGGGTTTATCTATACCTCATTATAGTTATACCTTGTTAAACTCTGTGACCTTTGATCAAACTATTTATTACAGGTGTAAAATAATACTAATCAGATGGTAGAACTTTCCACAGAGATATATAACTACAGTAGTTGCATTAAATATTCAGCTAGATTCAAAAAGTGTAGTAATGAGGTTTTTTTTCTGATAGGCTGAAGTTACCGATACCTAGAGCCAGAGGGTAGACTGAGTTGGAATTTCTGTAGTTAAGACCAAATGGATAATTGGATATTATGAGAGTCATCTCAGTTTTTAAGCCATTTCCTGGTTCCAAACAATGAGTTCTATTGTAGGTTCTAGTGTCTAAAGTGAGAACTGATTTTGAGTTACAAAACCTAAATGTCTATGGAGATGTACTCTCTGTTCATTTACTTTTGTCAAGAGCTGAGCACTGTTGCTGTGATGAAGCAGAGCGTGCAAGCATAACCTTAAGTTTAACAGTGGCTTCTTATGCTTGAAGTTTATTATGTGCTTAAGTGATTTGCTTGAAAGCCAGAGTATTAGCAGCCTGTAGGATTACACCCTAATAGAAGCCTATTATTTGCAGTATAATTTCTTGTTCTTTGTTAGATATTATGTAACCCGCCCCCTCAGCAAAATGACTTTCACTTGTAAAGATGACAGGTTTCATTCTAAACTGCATTAACATCCTTAAGTAAAAGAAATCTGAATATATTTAACCATTTTTTCCGAGCAGTTCAGCTACCTTCAGCTCTCGTGCACCTTCTGCTTTGTTCAATGTATGGCATACGTACTGTTATTTATCTGGGTTCAGTGGGGAACCCAGATAGAAGACTTGCAGCACAGCAGGTACAAGGAAAGGAGTTAATTAGTAACCAAAAGATAAACAGTTCTGCTGAGCTGGGCCCTAACATTATGCCCAATGTTGATATCAGGAGAGAGGAAAAAGCATTGGCTAATGAAACATATCAAGTGCCTTATGAAAAGGTTGGGTTTTGAAATTTGGACATAATTTCTGTTAATTAATAAATTCTTCAAATTCTTCTCTCTCTCTCTCTCTCCGGTAAGATAGAAAGATAGCCCACTTCTGATAGAAACTATTGGGAGAAAAAAAATACAGCAATGTATTAGACTAGCCACACTGTCCTTAAAATTTTGAGAGGAAGGTCTGGAATGTTTTTGGAGTACCTGTAAAGCTCTGATTATCCACAGTGAACAAAGACTTTGGTGCATTGCTTCAACAATAAATTCTTAGGGAATTATTTTTCTTTCTTTTAATTAAACATAACCAAAAGCTAGCTGTAAAAGTTCCATTGGTCTTAGTGCAAGTATATTGACTTAGCTGAAAGATGAAGACTATAAAGTCTTTTTTATTGCTTATATTCAGGAACAAGTGAACACAATCAGAGACATGTTACCTAGTCATTTTTAGTTTAGAATGAGAAAGTGCTTGTACTTACTAAGCTGAAAATTTCTTCTCAGATACCACTTCGACATCAGTCCCTATGAGGATGTCTGGCCTGCCATTTTTGTCTACATGGTCCACCAGTCCTGTGGGACAGCCTGGTATGAAGTACATGATTTATTGCTTTAATTCCTTTACTTAAGAACGCACATTTAAGGAAACATTGGGATCATTACAGTTTAATACATGGTGGTATTTTATTTGAACCTCATTTACAATGCTTGGTCTCTACAGGAATATAGCAACTGGGTTGAATATCTTGTCCTAGTTTCTTGATCTTAGGTTCATAACATTTGGGAACAGCTAGATGGAGGGACTCACAGTATCATCCAAACAGTTGTCCTTTCAATAAATATTGTATTTGGTTCTGAGGTCACATTGCTTTTCAGACAGAATATGGTAAAGTTGTTAAACTCACCCATATCAAAAAGAGGCAAAGGCCCATGAACAGTGATTTTTTTTTAAAAAAAAAGATCTGCTGAAATATAATATGTGGTTAAAAAATCCAAGACTAAGATGTTTCACAGAATTGCAGAGTGGTTGAGGCTGGAATAAACCTCTAGAGATCATCTAGTCCAACCCCCTGCTCCAGCAGGAACACCTAGAGCACGTGGCACAGGGTGGCATCCAGGCGAGTTTGGAAGATCTCCAGAGAAGGAGACTCCACATCCTCTCTGGGCAGCCTGTTCCAGGGCTCTGTCACCCTCACAGGAAAGAAGTTCTTCCTCACATGGAGATGGAACTTCTTATGTTTCAACTTACACCCGTAAACATTTCCTTCCAATATAAATCCTTATCCTTACACCTTTCCTTCCGATATAAATCATTTACCAGCATTATTATCCATTAATTATAGAAATGAGTGTTTTTCAAATTGAATGTATGCTCCTACTGCTGAAAGAAAAGAGCAGCTCCAGATTGTGGAGAGGTGGAGCAGTTGTGGAGAAGACGAGCAATTAAAAGGGCAATATTCCCCATCCAAAACAGAGGAACAGCTGGAAACATTTGTTGGTGGCTGTTTCTTCTTAATAACTGGACCAATCTTTATGCCATCATAGCAGGCATAAGTCAAATATGAGGGTGTCTCTTGACTTTGACATGGTTCTGCTTAGCAAAATCAGAATATTTCCATTGCTAATTAAGTGGTCATGGTTCCAGCATTCGGGGATGAATTTTCAACTGAGCTCTATTCCTTTTCTTTCCTCCTTCTTTCCCAAATAGAATTTACATCAACTGACATTTTTAAAGTGAGTTTCAGTTCTGACACATAAAATTAAACAAACAAAAGTGAGAAAAATATTTGCAAAAGAGACTCTGAGGACTGACAGACTTATATTTAATCTCTGAAAACTTTTTAGCCATCTGAAACAAGGACTTGCAGCTGTTTTAATGCTAAAATTTTGTTCTCAGTGTATTGAGTGGGGTTGTGCCTTTAAGTATATGCCTATTAGTAGAGAGTATTTTTGAAAAAAAAATGTAATGGTTATTACTATTTCATCTCTCTTAGGAAGAAATTATATTTTATTATTCTAATCAAACATAAAAAAGATACAGCAGTGGGAGAAACCATACTATTCTCAGTTAATGTATAATGATTTTCCCTTAGCTACAACTATATTACGCAATAGTAATCACTGGGTAGATACTGATATTGGAAGCAACTGATAGACATTTTGATTGAAGATGTGCTATTTTAAACAGTAGCTTTACCGATTGTAAATTAGAATTAAAAAGCAATAAAGCTTCTTTGAAAGACAATATACCTCTATTTTTACTAATGTAAGTCTAAGACTAGAGCAGAATAATTACCTTACTCAACATGCAACCATCAAAATATGTTTTCCTATCTAAATGGCTCCATATAATAAATATATTTACGTTTTTACATGATAGGTCAGATATATTCAAGTTCATTTTCTCAGCCCACAGAGACATTAATATGGTGCCCAGGAAATGTATAATGATCAAAACATAGAATTCAAAAAAAAATCATGG